CCCCCCTGAGCCTCCTTTTCTCCAGGCTGAGCCCCCCCAGCTCCCTTTTCTGTCCCTTTTCTGTGCTTTCTCCAAAAACTCTGTTGTTCCTAAACCTGCTGGGCCGATTTCTCATTTGATTTACATTGTTGTGAACAAAGAGTAAGAGCTGCATCCAACCAGGACAAGATTCCTGCACTGGAAACTGGAGTCATGTTCTTCCTGCTTCAATTCTGGAATATTCACATTGCCTCAATTCTTCCCTTTTATGCAGCTCCTGCTGTACATAAACAAACAGCACCAAAAGACTTAAACTCTGAGATGCAGCCTCACATCTGCCTTTCATTTTTAACATGTAATATCGACCATTTAACATTTATAATCGAACCATATTTAATGTAAGCCACAAGGATTTCACCTCCATCTGTACAATTAAGATGTCACACGAGAATAATGGAAGAGATTTGATGTTAAGAGACTCACACCCAGCTTGAATTCTATGGAATAGATGCCAAAAATTCACAGTGCAATGAGTGTTTCACCTTGAGAACGGGTTCAGAGTTTGCCCTAATTGACAATGAAATTATTAATAACCTGAATCCACTTTGACCATAAGTGACCACTGTCACTGATGTTAATTAGCACCATCATTAGTGCCATGCTTGGGAAGGGGTGGCTCTTCCTCCTGCCCATTAATTAACAGCTCAACACCATCCAGATCCATTGAAATGCTCCTGTTTCTTGCATAAGAAAAGTGTTGGGTTAAACCTCAGGACCTCTTCCCCATTTTTATTCTCCTGTCGTGTTTTAGTGCCAAGAACATTCAGCACTAACCTTTTCCAGTGTATTCCACGTGAAACCAGTGTTTGCCTGTTAAATAAATGGCAAACTTTGACTTCCTTTTTTTTTTCCCCCAACCTGGCCTGAATATTTATTTTATTTTTTTTTTTTCTTTAACCTGAAGAAAAATCTTTTGTTCTGCTGATGTGGAATTTCTTAGTGAAGCTCTGAGGGCATGGTGTGACACACCAAAGCTTTTAAGGTGTTGGAGGGGCAGTGGAGGAACTGCTGAATGGCTGAAAATCCTCTGTGTTGGTTCCCTTTGCTGCAGGACTGGAGCTGGGAGTCAAGATTTTTCTCCTTCACTTATTTTTTTCCCTTTTCATTTCATCCCACTGGGTAGAAACAGCAACTTCCTGCTGTAGGAAGGGGTTCTGTGCGTGGAGAGGGAAGCAAATGCACAAAATAGGGTGTAAACCAAGAGAATTTGGAGCTCAAGTTGTGTAAAAAGTGTTCCTGGAGATGAGAGGCCCAACTCTTGGTGGGGCTCTTCCACTGAGTGACTTTTTTTTTAAATATTGCCCCTTTGCCCTTAAATAATTTAAATCCTGAAAATTTTAGAATTTAATTGCAACTCTTTAAATCCTTAAAATTCAGGATTAAATCCTTTAAATTCCTGTTTCCAGAACCAAACCCAGGTCCTAATACTGGCTCCCCATCATGTAGTTATCACACAACCAGTGATAACCAAATCCCAGTTCTCCCTCCTCCCTGCCAGTTAAGGAATAGGGAATAATTTAGGGAATAAATTCTCCTGGAGGATCTAAGGATGTTGAAGGATTTACTGAGAAATCAAGTCAATCTCCTTAAGGGGCCGACAACCAAGGAAATTTCTGGGCTCTGCATTTGTGTGATAACTGGGTTTGATGGGGTTGTGTTTTATACCCTGTTCTGGAGAGGTGCAGGATCCCAGAATGGGTCAGGCTGGAAGGGCCCACAGTGTCCCATCTGATCCCACCTCCCTGCTCCAGCAGGGCCATCCCAGAGCACAGGGATTGTGTCCAGAGGGCTCTGGAATATCCCCAGGGAGGATTTTCCTAAAATCATGGCAGTGTTATATTTGCACATGGAATTGGAGTATTACAGAGCTGTTTGGTTCAGTCCCTTTATTTCAGTTTTCTTCAGGGTATTGGGGAATTTATTTGGAACTAGAATTCATTTGGGGAATTTATTTGGAGAATTTATTTGGG